CAGCCCCTAACCTATAACCATAATGCTGGTTCCCTCTCCCCAAGTGCAGCACCCTGCACTTGTCCTTGTTGAACCGCATCCTGTTCAGATCCGCCCACTTCTCTAACCTGTCCAGGTCTGCTTGGATGCAGTCCCTGCCTGCCAGTGTATTGACTTTATCCCACAGCTTGGTGTCATCAGTGAACTTAAACAGGGTGCTCTCCACACCCTAATCCAGGTCGCTAATGAAGATGTTGAACAGCACCGGCCCAAGGACCGAGCCCTAGGGGACTCCACTGCCCACAGCCTTCCAGGTCAATGTCGACCCGTCCACCACCACCCTCTGGGTGCGCCCCTGGAGCCAGTTTGCCACCCATGTGACTGTGCATTCATCAATGCCGCAGTCCCTCAGCTTGCCCACCAGAACTGGGTGGGACACTGTGTTGAAGGCCTTCTGGAAGTCCAAGAAGATGACATCGACTTCCTCCTTCACATCTAAGCTCTTTGTTACCTGGTCATAGAAAGAGACCAGGTTAGTCAGGCAGGATCGGCCTTGCACGAACCCATGCTGGTTACCCCTCAACATCACTTCCCCTGCAGGGCTCTCACAAATGTGGCCCTTGATAATTTTTTCAAAGACCTTCCCCAGGACAGAAGTGAGGCTGACAGGCCTGTAGTTGCCAGGCTCTTCATAGCATCTGAAAAAGTAGGCTGTAGCTTACAAAAGCATGTGTTTCTATGAACAAGTTAGTATATAAGGTGCCACACTGCCCAGGTGTTTACCTAGCTAATGTTGACATTAAAATACTAGGACTGGGTTTTAGGGTCAACAGCCCAATGAGGTTAGTGTGTGATAGGAGAGTTTATTGTTTCAGGCTGTCTCCAGACTCAGGAACACATGATATTGTGTTATTCCATAGATTTCATAGACATTAGGGCTGGAAGGGACCTCCGAAGATCATCAAGTCCATCCCCCCACCCAAAGGGCAGGAAGTCAGCTGGAGTCATAGGATCCCAGCAAGATAAGCATCCAATTTACTCTTGAAGGTGTTCAATGTAGGTGCTTGAACCACCTCCGATGGCAGGCTGTTCCAAACCTTAGGGACTCGGACAGTAAAGAGTCACAGGGCACCATGACGATTGACTTCCATCAATTACTACCCTCTGGGTCTGACCACGGAGCCAATTTCCCAGCCAGTGGATCATGGTGGACCCAAGGCCACAACTGGCTAGTTTCACCAAGAGGTGATCATGGGATACCAGATCAAAGGCTTCTTGAAGTCAAGATATATGACATCAATCTCTTCTCCCTTGTCCAGGTGATAGGTCACCTGGTCGTAGAAGGAAATGAGATTGGTCAAGCAAGACCTACCCACAACAAACCCGTGCTGGCTATCCTTCAGGATATTGGCATCGGCAAGTCCATTAAGGATGGCCTCCTTAATAAACTTTTCTAAAACCTTCCCCAGGATAGAAGTCAGGCTGATAGGCCTATAGTTAACTGGATCCACTTTCCTCCCTTTCTTGAAGATCGACACCACATTGGCCTTCTTCCAGTCTTCGGGCACTTCACCAGAGCACCAGGAGTTTTCAAAGATCCGTGCCAGAGGCT